GACATTCCTCTATGACCTCCGAGGTCAATTCATTTCTACCCTTCCTGTTTTATCTATGAAAGGTCATCTCTAAATGACCTTCTGTAAAAGTTTTCTTGGTCACTAAATTGAATCCAAGTTGGACATTCGAAGTGTGCGATTCGTGCTGACAACATTGTTTGTTGTGTTCTCGGCGATATTCTGCGGCAATTGTTGGACTTGTGTTTTATTTGGAAGATTTGGACTTAATTCTGGAAATGTCTTCCACCTCTGAAAACAGCATCCAGTGCATGCAGCTAGAAATATAAGACCAGCATGGTAAATGGGCTCAGAGCACACTGGTTGGGGCTGATAAGCCTGGAAAAGCAAAAAAAAATGGGGCAAAATAATAATAACAATAATATTACACTCCCAAAAAAATTTCACATTAAGAAAAAAGAGGAAAACATTTCTGTGCTCCAGCAGTAGCCTGCAAAAAAAATGAATGAAAATCAAACAAAAAGAAGCGCATACAGTATATATATATATATATATATATATAATATATATTAACGATGAAGGCTTCGCTGCCCCAACGGGAATTAATCCGAAATTCCACGCTTTAATCCCTTCCATCCTGTTCCTTTTCCTCTCTCTCTTCCTTCTCGTTCCTCCTGCATCTCTGTCTGTCTGTCTCTCTGGCGCTCGGATTTTTTTCCGGTGTAGGACGGAAGGGAGAAACACCCGCGCAGGATAATATAACTTGGGCAACGTGTACAGTATAGTTTTAGGACATATGCTGGAGGAGGTGGGTGACGGCCTCGAAAGGAGAAGGAGGAGGACCTTCACAGAGTCGCCCAATCAGCGCGGCATGTTTCAATGAAGCTGCGGGTGGGCGTGGCGATTTTATGGCGAAGAGCAGGAGTTGCTGCTGTCGCTGCTGCTGCTGGGCGGAGTAGGGAGCGACACCTGCGCGAGGCTTTGTTGAGTGGACACGTGGCGAGACTCTGGGGTCCGGTGCGGGTGTCGCTGCTGCACACGACTCCGGTTCGCATGGACCCAGTGTCTTCGTGGTTGGCGGTCAGGGCTGCCAACTTGGCCCTGGTTGTGGCCTTGATTGGCGGCAGGAGAAGTAGGAGATGGTTTCACAGGTGCTGATGACCTTGTTGCAGGCATTATTATTATTTTTGTGTGTGTGTGTGGCAAAAAGCATGCATTTTGGATCCAATGTTGAAATACAGTGAGACTGGCCCAGATGTGGACATGATTGGTGCCTTCAAGAGTGTCCACAAGTTGAATTATTGTCACTAAGTCAAGTCTTATTTCCCAATAGACTTACATTATATAGTTTTTAATTGGTGTTTCATGGAAGAAATATTCTTTGGAATTCCATGAAAAAAATTGTTTGCCTCTTGAATTTTATTCAGTGAATATATTTTCAACTCAATAAGAACATTTGGAGCATTGGAATAGTGTATCTTGGTACTGTACGTTGAAATGTTGGCATCTACAAAAATAGCATTCAAGTCCCAAAGAGAGAAGGAAGTCCCTCAATGCAAAAGGTAATTTTTTCAATTAGCTGACTGGGTGAAAAAATGATGGGATAAATGACAAAGAATTTTTTTTGCTTAAATCTCATGGATGGAAATATCTGTTTTTTTTTGCAATCAAGCTGGATAAAAGTCAATTTTTGTGAAATTTATTGGCAATTTCATCATGCAATGTCCTCATGCTGTTGAGTCAGTGTCTGTATGTTGGTCCTTTTTATGCCCTTTTTATTGAAAAGTAAATGTCCCTATTTCAAATTGTCCTCATGTGGAGGTGTCAGCATGTATGGAGGGTCTCACTGTACTGCACAGCAGCAAAAGTATGATTTGATTTAAGAGAAATATATGCAGCATAACATTTTATTCATAACACATTTCAAAAGGAAGTTTTGATGCAAAAGCTTTTAAGATGTTCAAAAAATCTGATTTTCAAACTTGTTTTAGTGTTGAATAACTCTTGAGCCACAATGTTGCAAATTTTGCACATCAATTAAAGCATACAGTATATATACTCAATATAGTGTGTGTGTTTTTTTTCAATAATTCATGAACTGTTGAATCTTTCAAACAAGAATTAATTCAAAAGATAAAACTTCATATTGGGAAAGTATGGACAAAATCTTTTCAACAATCCCCACAATGTCAAATTCAAAATTCATGCTTGTAACATCATTTGAAGTCATATTGACCAACCAAAATTTGAGCAAAAATATCTAAGAACAAAATTACCAGCATATGCATGGACTTTATTGTGTCTTGGTAGAGCAATTCTAGTCAAATATAAAAATTGAATTTTAATGTTTTTAGAGAGAAAAAGACATTAATTTTTCCTCCATTTATTGCTCTAAAAATAATACAGACAAAGTGATGAGAAGAAGCAGAAAATCTACACATATTTGGGTGGTGCCTCTGCTTTGTCAGTGCTGCTGATCTTGATGAACCAGTGGGTGCACACTGAGTGGAACCCAGTCACAGAGAGAAACCAGGCTTTCTTATTCAAGGTACATATGCTCATCCTTCATTATATTGCATTTATGAGATTTATTTCAAAATATTTCAAAGGTGGTGTCATTTCTGCTACATTCATGCTGTAAAATCTCGTTTACAGGCCAAGCTTGTGGGGTCTTCAGAAAAATTTGGTTACATAAATAATCATGTTTTATAACAAAATTTTCAAAATAATTGCCCGGAAAGATGGTTTAAAGTTAAGCCTGTTGTCGCGAAATTTATTAGAATTGGAGGATGAGTTTGGCTGGCGCCAAACTCATCCTCCCGTTAATCTCGTGGGAACCCAAGGTCGCCGAAACTCTCAGCCTTCTCCTCAAGGAGACATTCCTCTATGACCTCCGAGGTCAATTCATTTCTACCCTTCCTGTTTTATCTATGAAAGGTCATCTCTAAATGACCTGTAAAAGTTTTCTTGGTCACTAAATTGAATCCAAGTTGGACATTCGAAGTGTGCGATTCGTGCTGACAACATTGTTTGTTGTGTTCTCGGCGATATTCTGCGGCAATTGTTGGACTTGTGTTTTATTTGGAAGATTTGGACTTATACTTTTTTCTATCTCCGAAATATACCAACATTAACAACTAGGGTGTAATTCACCCCGGCCGCAGCTCGGCTGATTGAGGTGTTTTATTTCTACTAATTTATGAGTGAAATTTATCTTCATTCCTCACAAAAGTGGTAGCAGAGCGTGGTTTCATGTCTCTGAATAAAAATCTTTTATTCTGAAAAAGAGGTAAAAAGTATTGGCAAAGAAAAATTATAAATCCAACTACTCATCTAAAAAACACCGGGATAGTGTGGTGAAAACTTCATCTAAAAAAAAAAAATTCTGAACTGGTGGAAATTCTCAATTCTGTGACCTCAGTGTGCATTTCTAACAAAAAAAAAATTCTAAAAAAGGAGGCTCTAACCCTCTAAAAAAAAAAGAGAGGGAGAGAGAGAAAAGGAGAAAAAGAGCAGAAGACAAGTGAAATCAGTGAAAAAATCTGCCAGCAAACGGACTATCTGACATCCAAGGTGAGCAAAAAAGCAAGAAAAAATCGTCCAAGGATTGTGTTCTAAAAAAGGAGAACTCTTTTCCTATTGATTTTTAAGAAAAATTAGACCCAAAAATGCCAGCAGGCAGAGGTTGCCCAAGAGGTTCTGTCTTAGCAAATAGAAAAATATCCAGAAGCAGAAGCTTATCGAGAGAATCAGCAAGAGGTACACCTATAAAAACCAGACGTAGATCCTTGAGACCGCAGGCAATCTCTTCATCAAGACTATTTCAATCTTTAAATCCACTCGGAAAACTAACTCCAAAACTATACTTAATCATCCAAACTATTTGAAAGGGGGATGAAGACATGAGAGAAAATAATGAAGAAAAGACAAATAAACTATTTGGAGAAATTTTGAATGAACTTCTTCAACATATTGAGTTTCTTGACTCCTTTCAATTCGATTTTCTCCCGGAAGAGAACATTGAGGAATTAAAAGTTTTGAAGGGTGAGATAAGCAATCTGGCAACTCAAACTCTCGAGGGTCTAAAACTTAACTGGAACTTGTCAAGACCAAAAGAAAGAAAAGTTGTTTCAATTTCCTTCCCTTCAATTCCAATTGATTCTCCTGAATCACAAGCTTCTCAAGCTTCTCCTACTGGAAATTCTTCTTCAACCACTCCCTCTGAGGGACAAATATGTAACCCTACAAATCAGACGGTCAAAATCATAAACAGCTGTTCTATGGAAATTGAACACGAAATAAATTCTGCTCCTCCATCCTCTTGTGGAACTAACCAAACACACTCTTCCTTTTCCATCCAACTTGAAAGTTCTTATATAGATAGTGAAATACAAAGATACGGAAAAGGCAAATCCCTATGTTCTGATCCTGATGCGTACATCCAAAATTATACTAATAAAGTTATGAAAAACTTCAGAAAATTTAAAATAAAATCAACTCTCGATAATGACTTCGATAGAGTGTGGAACATTTTCTGACCTATCCATGAGGCTCCAATTAATGAGTTTTCTCCACCTCAAAGACGTAATTTGTTGCTTATGCACTTTGATGAAGAAATCCTAAATGAAATTAATTGTTTGCATCAAAAGGACCGGGAAAAAGATTATTTGACTCTCGTTCGAATGCTATTTTCGAAGTTTGGGGATGTAAATCAAATTACCCAGAAGATTTTTGATTCAATCGAAGAACTCACTCCTAGACGAGTCAAAACAATCAATTGCAGACTATATGAGTGAAATTGTTAACTACGTAGCAAAATTGACCGTCCTTAATCAGGACATTTTTTACATCCATAAAAGAATCTGGCCATGCGTCTTTAAAAACTTGAATATGGGAAATATGTACGATATCCTTAAAGGACAAGTAACGGAAGAAGTAAAAATCAAGTGGGAAAAGGACCCAGAAGAAATTTATCGATGGTACTGGGAGAAACTTGACACAGGAGTCCTTCGGACAAAAGAAACTAAAACTTCAATTCACAAAACAACTGTATCTGATGCTGCTCCTCAGGAAACAAAGAAATCGGATGAAAAAACTAAACCAGCACAAGATAATTTCCTATATGCATCAGAAACTCAAAAGTTCAGGCAACATCATAGACCAGACTTTAAGGTTCAAAGACCTCAATACTCAAATAATCCTCCTTGGACCAAAACAACAGTCAGAATCGACCTGGGAATAGAAATAATCCAAAAACCCACTTTGATAACAACATCAAATTAGCCAAATGTACCTTCTGTGATCTTTCACATTCTGTCTACTTATGTCCTAAGTCCTTACAAGAAAAGAGAAATCTTATTCAAGAAAGAAAACTCTGCTGGAACTGTCTTAAACCCGGTCACAGAAATTTTTTGTGTAAAAGCAGATACCGCTGCTATCATTGTAGCAAAGATCATCATTTTTCTATCTGTCCAATCAAGAGAGAAACTCCGCAATCCAAAAATAATTCAACAGCTAATTCTTCTACTACCAGTGGTGATATTCCCTCTCAAGTTAGCAATGAATTGAAAGAAATTCTGACTCCTCTAGAAAGCAAGTTCAACAATCACTACATTCCTCTAACTGGTACAGTTGAGACAGAGAAAAAATCCTGACTAAGCTTCGAGCATGTTCATGTTAATCTGACGAGAGGATCATACCCAAACTCCTTTGTAGAAACAGCAGCGTTAATTGAATCAGAAAGCAATCAACCTATCTTTGCTCTCCTAGACTCTGGAGCCCAGATAAACCTTATAACTGAAGACGTAGTGGCAAGGTTGAACCTAAAGGAAGATCAACATTCCACTGGATTCAGAATTTCTGGAGTGAATAAAAACAATCGTGATTTTATATTGAGAGTTTACGGAACAGTCCCGTTACATAGCACTACTGATCCTAATTTTTCTATAACTATCAAAGCACTAATAGTCCCTATGGATAGACCTTGGGAAGGATCTAATCCACAGACTTTGGCCTGGATGCAAGAATATGAAACTCTGTTAGCCGATAGAAGAACTGTTGATTCTACTGATGTTCCATTTGATTTGATTATTGGAGGCAAAGATTTAGTTCCTATTTTTTTGGGAGGATTACAACCTTTTGTTTCAAGTAAACAATTCCAACTCCTCAAATCGAATCTTGGTCTCATTCCTTGAGGAAATTGGGAACCTGAAGTCAAACTACCCATAACCATAAATAAATCAATTGTATTCAGTGTAAGAGCAAGAGTAGATAATTCTCTAGATCTTGAATTAAACGAGGAAATTACTCGATATCTTCGGTTGGATAGAGTGGAAATTTTTGGAAATGAAGAAGAGGAAGAAGCTGCAAATGAAGTTGAATTGGAAAAATACATGAACTTAATCAAAAGAGCACCGGGTGGAAGAGTAATAGCTCCTCTCTTAAAAAACAGAACATTTCATGATAATGTTTCACCAAATCTCATTACTGAAGAACAACAAAGTAAATCCGTCATTCGACTTCTGGAAAGGGGTGGAGTCCTAGCAGACGCTTACAGGGAATTCATTGAAGAATGGGAGAGAGATGGTGTAATTACACCTACATCACTAGAAGAATTGTATGCCAGAGGAACTCCCTTTACAGAAAAATTAAATGAAGAAATTACTCGATATCTTCGTCTTGATAGAGTGGAGATTTTTGGAAATGAAGAAGAGGAAGAAGCAGCTAATGAAGTCGAATTGGAGAAATACTTAAGCCTAATCAAAAGAGCACCAGATGGAAGAGTAATAGCTCCTCTCTTAAAGAACAGAACATTCTATGATAATGTTTCACCTAATCTCATAACTGGAGAACAGCGAAGTAAATCCGTCATACAACTGCTGGAAAGGGGTGGAGTCCTAGCGGACACCCACAGAGAATTCATTGAAGAATGGGAGAAAGATGGTGTAATTACACCTACATCTCTAGAAGAATTGTATGCCAGAGGAACTCCTTTTACAGAACTCCCACATCATGGAGTCGAGAGACCCCAAAGTGCAAGTACTCCTTTAAGAGTAGTGATCACAGGAAATGCTGCTGATAATGGAAAGTTCTCTACCAAGGATATTTTTGATCAAGGTCCAAACATTCTTCCAAAACTAATTAATATACTTATGAAATTAAGATTAGCAGAATCCTTTTCTGTTTCTGAACAGGAAATGCTGCTGATAATGGAAAGTTCTCTACCAAGGATATTTTTGATCAAGGTCCAAACATTCTTCCAAAACTAATTAATATACTTCTAAAATTAAGATTAGCTGAATCCTTTGCTGTTTCTGACATATCCAAAGCCTTTGTACAAGTACAATTGACAACAGAAGATCAATGGCTTCTTATTTTTAGATGGCCTGTTAAACAATAAGATGGGTCTTACAGACCTCAATTCTTTAGATTTCTTATGATGCCTTGGGGTATCAACTGTGCTCCTTTTATGCTTAACGCAGCAATAAGATTTCTATACAGACAAGCCTTAAAAGAAGGCGCTATTTCAGCAGAAATGTGTACTGAATTGGAAGGAAATACTTATGTTGATGACATTTTAATTACTGGAACTAATTTAGAAGAAGTTGAAAATAAACTAGAGAATACAGACAAGCCTTAAAAGAAGGCGCTATTTCAGCAGAAATGTGTACTGAATTGGAAGAAAATACTTATGTTGATGACATTTTAATTACTGGAACTAATTTAGAAGAAGTTGAAAATAAACTAGAGAAGGCAAAATCTCTCTTGAAAGAAGGAGGTTTCAATTTAACCAAAATCAGAACTTTTCCATCTAAAAATCCCTCTCAAGATCAATTTAAAATTTTGGGAATTTTGTACAACTCTTTGGATGACTCTCTGTGTGCTTGTGCTGATCGTATATATCTACTAGCTGAAGCAGGTATCATATCAAAACATATGGCAGCTGGTATTATTGCCAGATTGTATGATCCTCTTGCATTTATGACTCCATTTACCACTAAAGTAAAACTGACCTTTCAGGACTTCAATAGATTAAATCCAAAAGCACCATGGGATGTTGAACTTTCAGAGCAAGATATTTTAAAATGGAAATCTTTGGCTATGGAAACAGCAGAGGTAGCAAAATTTAGAATCCCTAGAGGTATAAGATTGCCCAATGAAAAAGAATCAGAAATCCATGTCTTTTCAGACGCTAGTGGATCAGCGTTAGGGGTCGCTGTATACTATTTGTCACATAACAAAGAAGGACATAAAGTGTCGCTTATACTAGGAAAATCAAAACTTATACCTATCAAGGCTGGAAAGGATGAAACTGGAAAGAAAAAGGAAATTCAACTGGATCCAAAAATAAAAATAAACCGTTTAGAACTGAGTGCGGCATGTCTGGGAGTAACTCTTCTGCAAGAAATTCTCAAATCATTTAGACATCTCTCTCCAAAAATCTTCTTCTGGACAGACTCTGAAGTTGTACTGAAGTGGTTGAGAGAATTAAAACCAGGAACCATAACCTAAATCACTTCAAGGGTTGAAAAAATCTTTAAATATTCATCAAAAAATCAATGGAGGCATGTTCCAGGGAAGGATAATCCTTCTGACTTAGCATCAAGAGGCTGTGATGCGCAAACCCTAATAAAATCATCTCTCTGGTGGAATGGACCTACGTGGTTACCCTTCAGTTCTGATTGGCCCCTTCAAACAATATCTGCTGCAGTCTGCAGAGTCAATCCAACTCCAACGTCCTCATGGAACAATTCAAAAGAAAGTATTGCAAAATTATTGGCGGGAACTTCCTCCTGGGAAACCATCATAAATTGTTTTCTTGGATGGAAAAAGATCACTACCTATTTCAAGGAGAGAGTTCGAAGATGAACACGAGGGGCAAAGCGGGTACTTAATGGAGATCTGATTATAACAAAACTCATACATGAAAGATCCTCCGTAGAAATGAAGAAAAATGCTCAACTAGAAATCTTCAAACCTTTCAAAAACTATATGCTTATGATGATTGGGAAATACTTAAATCTGAAAAATCTATACCGGAGAAACCAGATTTACAATGGAACTCTGAATTTAATCTGATTGAATCATTAAGCAGGCAAGGAGAACACACTAATTCAAAAATAGAATCAAGAAATTTGGTTAGAAAAAGCTTAATATACATTCCAATTCCTAAAGGAAGCGTCAACACAGACGTATTACAAGCCTTCTTCAGAGAATATCATGAAAAACTAGGACACGCCTCCTCCTCCATAATGATGAGCTACATACATAAAACCTTCTGGGTGCCTAGAGGCAGAAAAATAGGAAGAGAAGTCAGAAAAAATTGTAATTGGTGCAAACGGTTTGATGCACAACCATACTCTGTTCCTCCTGCTCCTCTACCAGAATACAGATACTATGGTTCTATACCTTTTAAAGCTGTTGGGATTGATTTTGTTGGGCCATTTATTTCTATAGAAACTACAAAGATGGTTGAAAAGAAAAGAATAGTAATAAATCCTTCTCAAAAGGTATCAATATGTGTTTTTTCATGTCCTCTTATTAGAGCAGTACATTTGGAACCAGTTCAAGATTTAACAATAAAATCCTTTGTTGAAAATATTGTAACAAATAAACAAATATAATTCAAAACTTAAAAAACACCCTTTTATGTTCACGTACCTTCTCGAGTAACCCGACACCCAGCTCCCTCCTCGAACCAGAGATGACTGAGCCCCTGGAGTCGTAAAAGCGTCATGGCTAAATCACCAGAAACTCGTCGCCTCATAGCATTCAAGAATTCCAAATGACTCACATCAGCCTCTTTCGAAGCTAACGAGGCCATAACCCTGTTTAAATCAGCAACTTTTTGCTTCTTCTCCATACTGCTTTGACGCTCCTCCAAATCATGTACTCCTGAACGTAACACCTCCAAACGTGCTCGTTTTCTTGTCGATTTCTCCTCCACTCATTTGACTTCAGCCTCTAAGCCAAGCTTGGCAATTTCAACAATAGACCGGTTTTTTACGATCTTTGCCAAATCCAGCAGCTGCTCCCATTCCTGATGTCCCAGATCTTCAAGTTCCTTTGCTCTCTCACCTAATCCAGAAGGGAGATTAATTTGCACCAGAAAAGGTTCAGCAGGCTCCATAAGTTCGTCCTCCTCGTCTATAA